ATATATAAAGTTAAACTGAAGAGAAATAAAAATATCTCTGTCCTTCTAATATTTTTTAAAACACTAAGATTTCAAAGTCGAATCAGTAAATGTTATGACAGTAATTGATATGTGTCTAAATCATACATATAAATTGATTTTTGTTCTGTTAGGCCTATCCAAAAATTATATTTAGAGGAAAATCCTGGCAATGTTTTAGTGCATCCATTCAACAAATGTTTCCTGACTGTCTTCTAGCTACCAGATACTCTTTTAGCTGTGGAAAATACATTTATGTTTAAAATAAAGATCCTTACCTTCGTGGAGCTTAAAATTTAGATCGCTAGCCAGAAGTAGTAACTCTGTATGTAGTTTACCAAGTTGGCAGAGCTTAGCGTGTATTACTATATTACTTCAGTTCTTGGAAAGGAAATGCATTCACTCACATATTTAAAAGTGTATCAGAAAGATACTGTTTCTTTTCTGATAGTACGTTTTCTCTCAAATAATTTTGTATACCTTTTCATAAAATTAAGACTAGCCGGGTGTGCTGATATGTGTATGTGTGTACTCGCAGCTACCTGGCAGGCTGAAGCAAGAGGATCACTTGAACTCATGAGTTTGAGGCCAGCCTGGGCAATATAGAATTCACGTTAAAAAAGAATATTCTTTATTATTGATAGCACTCATGTCCAAAAAAGGAAGGGGATCAAGAGGAGGATGGAGGGGGACAGAGAGAAGGGAAAGAAGATTCAAAAGAATTAAGATATATCATGTATATGGACCAACTGCCCACAAAAATGTAACCTTTATGTACTACATATACATACCAATAAAAAATTTAAAAACAGTATCATTCATTTATCCATGAAGCAGAAAAAAATTTTAGCCATTTTATTTTCTAGTTTCTAATATATGGAGCCACTAAATTTAGTCTTAAGTTACTTTTCACTAAATAAAACAATTATTTGTCTATACTTTTCATCATTTATGTTTACAGAGGACTGCAAGATGAAAGTGAAAAGATAGCTAACAATTGTTGAGCATCTACTATATGCTAGGTCTTAAAACACCTTACAAGTATTACTCATTCATTTAGTCCTCCTGAAAAACCAGGAGACATAAGTGATATTATTACTGCTTTGTTAGATAGGTAGAACTCAGTTGTTTAAATTAAATGACTTGTTCTTGATCCCATTGTAAATGGCAAACCAAAGATTTAATTCAGGCTCCAAAACCCACTTATTTAACCAACACACAATACTCAGGACAGCACAGTATTTGAAACTTTTGGACTTTGAACATAAAGCTACTCCTTAAAGAAACTTTTAAAGAAATCTTCAGGAAGAGAAGACCTGCCTTGCTTTTCATCAAGCTATAGTACATAATTTTCATATTCTCATAGTAATGAAAAGTATGTGGCTCTGAAGGGAATTTATAGAACATTGACGTTTTCAGAGATGATTTTGCCAACTAATGAGAGAAAGACATTGAATAGTTGCCATCAATATAAAAAGGTGAAAATTAGATCTTTCCACTTTATTCACAAGAAGAACAACTGCAAAATGAGTTAAAGACTTAAATGTGAAAAGTTAAATTGTAAAACTTCTAGAAGAAAACATTTTTATGATAGATATCAGTATTGGAAAAGATTTCTTTTTAAAACTTAATGAGTTTAAGCTATGCAGGGAAAATTGATACGTTTGATAACGGTAAAACTATAAAATGTGCAACAAAATCTGAATAAAACATTAATCTACACTTTGAGAAAAGACATTTACTATCCCTGTCACAGATCAAGAATTAAAATCTAAATTCATGAAGAGCTCTTAATATATAAGAAGACAATTCATTAAAGAATTGTACAAAGGGTGGGGCCTACCATGTCACAGAGAAAGTCTTGAATTTTTCAAAAAACATTTTTAAACGCTCAGTCCCATTAGTAATCATGGAATCATTTGCCATTTGAAATGCAAATTAAGGTAAAAATGAGCTACTATTTCATACTTAACAGATTTGGGAAAAAACCAATTAGTATTACATATTATATCTAAAATTAAACCTTGGGAAACAATCTGGCAACTTGCTGATATTCAACGAGTACATGATCCTGGTGTCCCATGGAGAAACTCCTCAGTGTGAAGAAAACATGAACCAGAATGTTTATCATGGCAGTTTATACTAGTAGGTAGATAAACTGATTCATTTATGCAATGAATACTGAAAGGAATTAAAATGACTGACCTAGATCTCCTTATAACAATGAGAATAATTTTTAAAACATAATATCGCATATCAGAAAGTTACAAAAGACACATACGATATGATATGTTGGAGTAAAATTTTAAAGCATGTATTTCACTCAGAAGAGGCAAAACTAATATTTTTATTTTTCTAAAAACAATGAAAAGTATGGCAAAATGTTAACATCTGTTTAAACTTCTTTGAAATGTTTTATATTTTAAATTCCCTGGTGTAAATTAAATCATCAATTTTTCTCCACAGATCCCTTCTTTAGTCATGGTAACAGTTTTCATGGTACAGGTGGCCGTGGCAATAAGTTTGCACAGATGCGTTACACTTTAAGACTCCTGAGAGCCATGGTCCACCTTGAAAATGAGACTGTGAACACAGATCTTTGTGAAAAGGGAACAATCCAGCAACTGATAGGTAAAAATAAGCATGTCAGCTACCAGTGAAAGAATATTTATATGTTAGATATTGTGTTTGAAATATTTTCCTACAAATTTATTTTGTCTTTATGTCTGAGAAAACTCCTGAATATTTGCTTGATCTTTTTTCACATTATAACTGGTGTATATTTTTCTTCTTAGTGAAATCCTTTAAACATTGGTTTCTTCCATTCAGAGACCATTTGGTTATGATTGTCTTTTTAATTCACTTTGTTATGTTTCATTTGTCTAATAATATGATCACTATTTTTGGTCAAGCCATTTTAAAAGATGGTAACATTATAGTTGCCAATGCATTTGACATGCCAGAGCATTGGTGCTTAGTGTATAAGTTTGCAATTGACTAGGTTAAAAACCCTTGTTCCTTGAACCGTGTAGATGTGAGCCCAGTGTAAAATTCAGAATGCCTAAATAAAAACTGCTTTACTTTTAAGCTGCTACCTTGTAGTGGCCAGGAGTAAGAGACAGAGAGGAACAGGGAGGTCAGGCCCCCATGACCTTCCTTCCCCTAGACGCCACCTCCCAACAGCGTCAAAGCCTTGGACACAGGAACCCTTGGGGTCATTAAGATCCCAGCTAAAACAATGAAAGGTGTCAATTAATTTCAAATGCCTACTCCAGCCCTCTTCTAGAAAGGGATAGAGACCTCCAATTACAATGATAGTAAGGAAATCAAAATATATGTATTTAAAAGGGAATAGGCAAAAATGTCCACCTTTTCCCTTTAACTAGTAAGCTGATCTTTATCATGTGAGCTCTCAAAGCCAGGGACCTTATCTTTTTTAATCTAACAGGGCTATGTAGTGCAGTAGTGGCATGCTTAACAAATAGTAATTGTATTATAAGTTTTAAGTGTAATCTCTGCATGGACACTGGAATCACAAACGTGTATATCAGGATACTAGGGACCTCGTCCTTGAGATAACAAAGGAAAAATATGTATATCAGGGAAAAAGCATATGTTACCTGAATTTTTATTATGGAGGCTATCTATACAATAATACTGTGCTTTAGGAAGAAGAGTCTGGAAGAAATAGAATGACTTCGAATAGAATAAGGAGGAGGGTAAAGGTGCCTGAATATGAAGGAAATAACCCAGTATGAATGCATTGTGTGTTAACAGACTGCAGGGAAATTCAAGCCTGCACTAGAATGAGACAGTCTAGAAAACTGGTCAAAGAATTCTTGAAGTTGTTCCACAGACCCTCTGTTATGGCCTGGCCCTGCACTGCACTTCCAGCAAATCTAGCTAACATCCCAGGGTCTGGACCCCACCTGTATTTCATCAGGAACAAGAGTACTTTTTCAAAGCCAGCTGTGGGTGTAGCCTGTGGTTTCCTGGGGAACATAGCTTCCTGCCTTCCTCCTAACATCAAGAACCACTTTAGCAGAGGAAAAATTATTTTTGCTCAATATTAAAAGCTTAAAAGAAATTCATTTTTAGGTCCGATTTTATGGTGCGTGTCATTTCATCAGTGTCAGTGACATTTTGAGTCTTTTTCAATGTTGATTAGAAGGGAAGGATTCTTAAGGACGTGGAATTCTGCTGCCAAAAGTTATTGAAGACACTCTCGGGTAGATATGAGAAGATGCAGAAAGAAATGAGACAGAAGTGGGCTAAGGGAGCCTTCCACTTTTGTTAAGAATGAAAAGAGGAATAGACAAGGCAAACTACAGTCAGAAATTTGGTCATTCATTTGCAAATGCAAGTACTAGGGATTGAATTTAGAAAGCACTACTCCTGCAATCGCCTGCCTCAGCCTCCCTCCCAAGTAGCTGGGATTTCATGGATATGCCATCACTCTCAGCTGTAGAGAATCTTTTAAGCATGCTACATTAATTCTGTAGTAGAATTTATGCATATATATAAAAATTGACATGATTTACTGAGACAGTCTGCATATACTGTTTATGAAACTACAATGATTGATTGCATTGAGAGTTTAAGGAATCCATTTATCACCCCCTGTCTACAACTTTTGGGTTACGATGCATTGAAAATAGCCCCTTCTAAAATAGTTTCCCTAGGTGAAGACACTTTTTTAGAAGTATTCCCAAATGTAACTGATCCAAATTTTTTTTTAAAAAAGTGGTGTCCAATAACATTACATTCTTTAAATTTTTTATACCAGGAATCTTTAAAAATATTATAAGCCGTCCTAATGAAAAAGAAGAGGCCATTGTTTTAGAAATCCAATCTGACATATTACTTATCTTATCTGGTCTTTGTGAACATCATATTCAAAGAAAGGTATGTTTGCCTATAAATCAAAGTTTTGTTCAGATCTCCCAATCAACTGAAACAATGAATTCTAAGTGCCTATAATGTTATTTATTAATCTTGTGAAAATTTAATTTAATATTTTTTTACAATGAGAGTATAATTACAGTAAAGTATTTTGGTGGTTTTAATGAACCAGTACTTCAAACATAATATTCCCATCTCCCTATAAGAGTTCTTTATCCTTTTACCAGCCATCCTGACACTGCCAGATAACCCCTTCATTTCTATCCCTATAGATTTATTTTGCCTAATCTTTAACTTTACATAAGTTACTCTTGTATCTGCTTTCTGTTATCCATAAAGAAAAAACAGCAACATTTCTGAAACATGTAAATATAGGTATAACCAAATAATGTATACACATTTCAGGAAAAGAGAAACTTGTATAAATATTTTAGTACTAAATTTATTGAGATATTGTGAGATTACTATGAGCTACCTTTGGCTTCTACCATTACAAGAGATGCTCAGAGTGGAGCCCTTCGCTTCCAGATGTTTATTAGTGTGGTGAGCTACTGCTTGGGTAGCCTTAGTCATTGAAACTGCTGCACTTGCATTTTCTTTTCTTGCTTGTTTCTTAAAATAATATTTTAATGCATTATAATTCTCACCCTTAAATCAAACCTAATATACACTGCTGTGTGAATCAATTAAGATAGCTTTATAGATGACTGTTTCTCATTTGGGATAAGAATTATTACTGTACTAGCATTTTGCACTTGCATTTTCACTTTCTTCTCAAGGGCCCGCAGTGTAGTGGGCTGCAATGTATGACATTCCCTAGGGTCCCCTATATGAGAGTAACACCGTCTGGTTTTTTGTTTTTGTTTTTGCTCTCATTGAGTTTATTGGTACATTTTAAGTATACGGTACAGTAACATTCATCATTGGGATCTGGTACCTTTACATGACAGGTCTTAGATCTCATTTTTTCCTCTTGTCCCTGCCCTCCCTTCACCCTCTCCTACCCTCCCCATTTACAAACAATTTATTTCCATTTTTCATTTTCTCCTATTTTTTTCTTTTCCCTATTACTTTTCCCCTTCCCTTCCCACTTTCCCTACACCTTTAGCACTTTTCTTCCTGTTTCACATTGTCAATTATATCATTGGAATCTTATGTACTATTATAGTTTTTCACACCAGAGAAACTATACACTATTTATACATGTGTGACTTATTTATTTCACTGAAGAGTATATCCTCAATATGTATCCATTTTCCTATGAATGAGTCTAATTTCTCATTTTTTATGGCTGAATAGTATTCCATTTTATAGAAAAAACACTTTTTTTTTTTTTTTTTGGTACCGGGGATCGAACTCGGGTCCTTGCGCTTGCAGCTTGCGAGGCAGGCCACCAAACCACTGAGCTAAATCCCCAGCCCCAAACACATCTTTATCCAGTCTCCAACTGATGGGCAAATGGCTTGTTGCCAAGTTTTAGCTATTACAAACTGTGCTGCTATAAACATAGGTGTGCATATATCACTGTGATATGATTCTTTTAATTCTTTTGGAAAGATACCCAGCAGAGGGATGGCTGGGTCAAATGGAAGCTCCAGTCCCAGCTCGAGAGTAACACCGTCTGTTGAAAAAAAATCACACTATTTTTCTTTTTGCTTATAGTATAAGTGTGTATACATTTTTGACAATAGGTAGATAGATAGATAGGTATCAATAATTCAGTAATTCCTTCTTGTTGCTCTATATTCTATTGTATCATTGTACTAAAATCTTTTTATTCATCATGCGTTATAAGCACTTGTGTCATTTTCTTTTGGTATAAGTATGAATAAAGCATTATTAAACATTCTTGGACCAGTAATCCTTGTGGATATAATGCTTTCATTTATCGGAGTAAATAGCTGGAGTTAGAACTGATAGACATAAAGGAGGTGTATACTTATCATTATGAAAAGTGCCAGTTTCCCCAAGTGGGCTGTACGATTATGAATATTATTTGGGAGTTGCACTTGGGTTCACACTTAAAAGTAAAATTTATAACAAGAGCTTAATTCCCTTCAATTTCATTTTTAGCTCCAAAGTAAACTGTGTCAGAAATTTATAACTTAAGTAAAGAGCAGTGAAACTGGAAAGATAACAATATAAAACTATGAAGGCTTAGGTAGACAGATTTTAAGACGGCTTTGATGCTGTTTCTTGTATTCTATCTCCCTGTATCTGGGAAATTCTATAAATACCATCATAATCTTGCTGATAGGAATCAGAACAGACCAAGCTAATGAAAAGATAATCAGTAAGGAGGAAAAGTTAAATGTTAATAATTTTGCATAAGTTATCAAAAGATTGCCATTTCTATACTTATTTCTCTCTTGAGAGTATTATAAAAAGTACTACAAAATCTATGATAATTACTACTGTTTAGTATTCACTGATATAATTTTAGACTGCATTCATTGTAATGTGGAAGAAAATAACAGGGCAAGTTTTATAATTTTTTTAAAGAGAGGAAAAAAAACAAAAATTACAAAGTTGGCAAGTTGATTAAGGTAGGCATACTCTTATCCATCTCTTAAAATGGTAAGCTTTACAGTAATTTTTCATGAATTCCTAAGAACAAATGTAAAATTTTTAAATCGTATTAAAAATACTGTTTTCTTAATAATGTTACTAATAATGTTTTTCTGGTCGAAAATACCTATTTAGGGAATTAAGTGGTGAAGAGAAGGGATTATATATTAATGTCAAGAAATAATTTTAAACAAATTTCTTCAACAGGAAATTTTTGGAACTGAAGGAGTAGATATAATTCTTCATGTAATGAAAACAGATGCCAAGAAGTTACAGAGTGACTTAGGGTATAATGTACTTCTGTTTAGTACACTGGACAGTATTTGGTAAGTATTCCTATAACCAAGTCAGGTAAAAGTCACAGGAAAAGAAGATTAACGTGACAACTATAGACAGCCAATTTTCTTAACTCAAAACCATAACAGAGAGATAATCTTCCCTGTGCCATTTTTCTTTAGATAGTCCAAAATGATGCAAGTGCCCTCTGGAAAGTAGCACTATACATTGTCAAAAATAAAGCACTCTTACATCTAAACTTAAACCTTTGTTTTTGTGATTTAAAGCCACTCTAATTTAAAAACACAGGCCTCTGTTGTTACTCATACAGCGTTATTACACTTTGGCTCTGCGTCTGGCATTTCTGTTCTGTTCTACTGGTCATTTGTCAATGCTGCTGTAATACTATGCTATTTTTATGGTTATATCTTTTTAATAAATCTAGGTATCTGATAATCCTCCAGCATTTTCTTTCTTCATCAAGATCGTCTTAGCTTTTTGTGAGCCTTTGAATTTAGATATTGTCAAAGTTTTCCAGAGAAATAGGATCTAGAAGACTGATTTATTATAAGAAATTGGCTCACAATTATGAAGGCTGGAAAGTTCCAACCTGGAAAATAAGCCTGAAAGCTGGAGACCTGGGAGGCCTGATGATGTAGTTCATGGTCTAAGTTCCCGTCTGAGAAGTAAGCAGAGCCAGCTTTTCAGTAGGAGGCTAAAGGCTTATATCCTAGCTCAGATCAGGCAGAGGAGTTCCCACTTTCTCAGCCTTTTTATTCTGTCTATATCTTCACTGATTGGGTAGGGTCTACCCACATTAGGGCCATCTGGTTTATCAGGTCTACTGATTCAACTTTTTGTTTTTGGTACAGAGGATTGAACTTGGGACCTTGCGTTTGCAAGGCAGGCAGTGGGCACCACTGATCTAAATACCCTGCCCTCAACTGTTAATCTCATGCAGAAATACCCTCACGGACTAAGCAGCCACATGTCCAGTCACCCCAGAGGAGTAAAACCTAAAGCCACCTTGGTTGGGAGAGCCAAGCTCTTGCCCCTTGGTGTGCCAACCTCTCCCTACCCTCCCCCCCCCACAAACGCCATCGTGTTCGCCTGCCTTCATGAGGGAATCATCTAGGAAAGGGACATGGGAAACTGGCCCTAGCAAGTCAGTGCCTGGAAGGAACGGAAGTTAGTTTAGTTTCCCCGACTGCTCACCACCACCCCTGCCACCCACAATAGCTTATTCAGTGCTTGCTCCCCAGGGGGACATCAGCAAAAGTAGCCCTGGCCGCAGCTTCAGTTCACCCCATGAGATCTAGACTTAAACAGCAGGCCCATCAGCAACTAATCTCAACTTCAAAGATGAGATGTAATCAAGAAGTGTCAAACGTTTGAGGAACGCCAGCCTCATGAAAAAGAGACAGTAAACAGATAAACCTTGACGAGACAGTTATTAGAGCAACAAGAGGTCTTCTTCAAGAATAACTGTCACAAAAGCAAAGCACTTGCAGAAAAGTTAGAACAATGATTTGGTATTGTTTTTTAAATAAGTTAAAATGAACTCTGTTAAAGTGTCTTCAAAGCTCTTCTTTTTAAAATAAAAAACATTAATTATTTGATTTAAAGAGATGAAGAATAATAGTCTTTGAAAATGCCTTGAAAGAAAGCCCTATACATTGAATTTAACAATAAATGTTTGTGGGTGAGTAACTTTCTTTTAATTTAAGGTGCTGCATTTTGGGGTGTTATCTCTCAGAAGATTACTTTCTTGAAAAGGAAGGCATTTTTCTCCTGTTGGATGTTTTGGCTGTAAGTACGGCTACAGTACTTGTAAGTCCAGAAGAGATAACCCAGTGCCTCACACGTACTGAGCAGTGTCTACCCCTAACCTAACCCCTAACTGTCTTTTCCAAACTCAGTACTGCAGAACACTGTCTTGTCAGCAGATGCGTCCCCAAGTCATGTTCAAATGTATTGTTTTAAACAAAACCTTTCCTGGAGATTTATGAAACACAAAATATGAGCGTGAAATATTAAAGATTCTGAAAACTCCTCTCGTTAAGAAATCATTTTAGTGTTCCTAAATTCATGCACGCAAAGAATGTGTTTTTCCATCAACCTGCTAAGAAATTGTTCGTAATAAGCACATCTATACTGAATCTCATAGACATTATTATAACTTCTAGCTTTTCCCCACATGTTAAAAGTTAAAAGGCGTCATTAGACAAAGCTAAGTATTTTGAAAGTGCTGTGTATAGTGGGGAGGTGTCTGAGGAAACCACCATTTTGCAGGCTGAGCAGGAGTGGGCGTGTGAAGCCTTCCAGTGAAGACAGTCACTGTCCAGCAGGTGTGAAGACTATAAACTTCAAAAGTATTTGGATACCTTCATGTCCCTAAGATACAGTCTGTTAGTAAGTGTCTTATACCGTCATCCATGAAACAGGGATAACAACAGTATCTACCTCATCACACTGTTGGAAGTGTGTGCCCGTGTGTGTACGTGCATACCTGTGTATGCATAAATACATCGCTATGTGCTTTATTGCTGTATTATTTATAATATCACATTGTTTTTAGTATGGACTGAACCAGTAAATTGCAAAGTATAAATCTGCTTTAGTGCAGTTTTTATGTCAATGTCAAACTTCGACATTTGCCTCTTCTGAAAGTGAAGTCCCCACCTAATGCAATTCAACTGAAGTATTGATTGAGTGTACATTTATTTATTGAGTAGTAATTTCTAACATTGTGTAAATATTATTAAGAGCTTACTATGTGCCAGGCAGTCTCAACCAACTCTTTGCAGGTAATACTGTTATTTCATATAGGGAAAACAAAATATTTGTGGTTCAAAAAAAAAAAGTTACATTTCCCTTGCTGTAGTCTGTTAGCAATGTAAGAGTTAATCAACAAAAAAAATTTCGCATTGAAAAATGAGTAGGTGGAGGGCATGGCTCTGGAAGAAATTTCTATACTTAAATATTGTTTTGCTGAAAAATAAAGTATGCTTGATGATAACAGAATTTTTCTTGATCACTTCAATATTCTATGGATATGATTGTTAAAATACAAGATTATATCTCACTTTTTGTTAAGATACAAGAGTGTTTCCCACATGAGTATAGCTCACTTTTTACATTTGACTGTCAGTTACCATCACTTACCATCAGTTGTCTTGCTAATGAAGATATATCTAATATAATTTTTTTCAAATTTTAATGAAACACAAAATGTGAAAACCCTGTCATTATAGTGAACCATGTCACTGCTGACCTTTCCCCACTTAAAATAGTCATGTGAGTATGGGGTGTAGCTCAGTGGTACAGCACTTGCCTGGCACGTACATGGCCTTGAATGATCTCTAGCATTGCAAAATAAACTTAAAATACCTTCACTCATTTTTGCAAATCTCCTTTTTCCAAACCCATCAAATCAATTACATTTTTATCATGATATATGTTTATGACTACTTTAAGAACTATTACATATTTTTTAACCTCTAACTTTTAATATTTGAAAATACCCATGACAGCAGATATCTGTTTTTAACAGGAGATTGTCTCCAAATCACACCTGATTCTTGAGTTAGAAGGAACTTACTGATAATACAAGTATTTTTCTCTTTTTTGTAGGCCTATCACTTTTAATTGTTATCACAATTTTCTATTTTTTTTTCCTGTTTTTTTGCTACAGTTAAACCAAAAAAAATTCTGCAATCTAATACTTGGAATAATGGTTGAATTTTGCGATAATCCCAAAACTGCGGCTCATGTCAATGCTTGGCGAGGGAGGAAGAATCAGACAGCTGCTAGTCTTTTAATTAAATTGTGGAGAAAAGAAGAAAAAGAACTAGGAGTAAGGCGTGATAAAAATGGGAAGATCATTGGTAAGTGTATTTATGATTGTTAGTGGAAGCAATCAGATGTGTATTTTTTAAGAGACTTAAAGAATACTAGAAAAATATGAGGATTTTTCACTCCGTTTTCTAAAGTTCTTTTCACAAGGACTAGGAGAAGTTGCTATCATAAATTCTGAATGATCGGCCTACCGTTGTGGAGCAAACCTGTAATCCCAGCACTCTTTGAGTCTGAAGAAAGAGATTTCAACTTGGAGCCCAGCCTAGGCAATTTAGCAACTTAGTGAGACCCTGTCTCAAAATAAAAAATAAGAAAAGGACTGAGCATGTAACTCAGTGCAAGAGTCTTGGGTTCAACTTCCGGTATGGCCAAAGTCTTAAAATGAAATTTTAGTGTAAATTCTGATGGATTAGAAGGAAACAGAAAATCGGTGGCATTATGTTTGTATAGAATATTTTCAAAATATGGTATTTGTCTACATTTCAACTCAAAACTTAATAGTACTTGTTAATGAAGTTTATTTGGGTTTCTTGCTTTTACAAAGAGATTCAGTATTCCATTTACCAATAAATTATGGGGATACAAATAGAGTGCTTCGTAACAATTTGAATAACAATTTGTGCCTTAATATTTACTTTATAAACAAACTGTTTCCTAAATTAAAATACAACAAAGGTTCATATATTTTAATTACCATACTCTAATGAGGTTTACAGTATCAGAATACATAGTTAATTTATGTTTTCTATAATGCTATGTTACATCTTCTAAGCCTTATAAGATTATTTTTTTAAGCAGGAAAATTTACTGGGAGTACGAATGGGGAATAGGGCAGCTCCTGAGAGAAAGGAGGGATCCTGAATGGGTTGCCCAGCCTTTCATACTCTAAGTACAGTTTTTGTTTTATCAAAAATATCAGTATTCTTTATTTTTAAATGAAAATTTTCCACTTCTGATGATTTCTATCTTCTGCCCATTTTTATAACTTGAAATTTTTTGTTTGCTTGTTTGGCTGAACTGGAGATTGAAGCCAAGGCCTTCTCACTGGGATACATCCTCAGCCCTTTTTAAAAAAGTCTTTATTTTGAGACCGGCTCTTTTTTTCAATTAACTTTATTGGTACATTTTAGGTACACATTACGATCGCCTTCGTCACTGGGGATTTGTACCTGTACATGATATATCTTAGTTCTTGTTTTTTCCTGTTGCCCTTCTCTCCCTCTTACCCCTCCCTATTTACAAAAGCTTTGTTTCCATCTTTTCTTTTCTCATATTTTTTTCTTTCCCTTCTTTTTTCCTCCCCCCTTCATTTGCCCTCCTCTGAACCTCTGCTTCCTATTTTACATTTTTATTTATACATTTGATCCTCACACTCAGTTTCTCACATTAGAGAGACAATTTGGTATTTACACGTGTGTCCTATTTATTTCACTTACGAGTATGGCCTCAGTGTGCATCCGTTTAGCTATAATTGTCTTAATAATAAATGGCTGGTGGGGCTGTTGGGGAAAAAGGATCCCTTCTTCACTTTTGATGGGAGTGTAGACTGGTGCAACCTCAGTGGAAATCAGCATAGAGATTCTTCAAAAAACTAGGATTAGAAATCCCATTTGGCTCAGTTATTCCCCTGCTGGGTATTAAAAGCATCACACCACAGCGATACATGCACACCCATGTTTGTAGAGACACAGTCTGTAACAGCTAAATCTTGGAAACGGCCCAAATGCCTGTCTACTGGTGACTGGATAAAGACATGTTTTTTAAAAATATAAAATGGAATACTACTTAGCCATAAAGAATGATAAAATTGAGGCTCTTTAAGTCACTAAATTGCCTAGTCTGGGCTCAAAATTGGGATCCTCTTAGCTTAGCTTTCCAGAATGCTGAAATTACAGATCTATGCTACCATTCCTTGGTTAAATTTTGATCTGTAACATCACAAAATATGTTTTATATTTATAACAATATAGACACCAAAAACAAAGGAGTTACGTCACTGTTAATCTGACATTATTCAGTTTCTGGATCTCAAAGATGTACAAGTTACTTACATTAAAACTTCCCTTTTAAAAAATAATTTTATAAAATGTATATTTTGTATGAATAACAAAAATGAAAACTTTAAATTTTGCCACAGAATATAGAAATTCCTGATTATATTCTCACAAATATAGCTGTGTATAAGGCACTATCTCACTATTGTAATGTTTTTAAATATTCTGTTATATAGACTAAAATTTCAAAATTAAGTATTTATTTACTATATTTTTTAATCTGTTCCTTCCATACTTTTGTGATATCCGTCCAATGAATAGATACAAAGAAACCTCTGTTTACTAGTTTTCAAGAACAGCAAAAAACCATACCTTTGCCTGCTAACTGCCCCTCGATTGCAGTCATGGATGTTGCTGAGAATATCAGAGCAAAAATTTATGCTGTGCTGGGAAAACTAGGTAAGCAGCTACTCCTCAAATCCTAAGTGTTTCCCTGTGTGGCTGAGGGTCCCCATAGTGATTTTTTATCTTAGTCTATTCTTCAAACATGATCCAATTCCCCTGTGGACAAATGTGTGTTCCATTGTCACCCCGATGCCCAGAATGCACCACTGACCACATAAATCAGAATCTCTGTATGTGGAGCCCCAGCGTCAATATTTTTTAAAGTTCCCCAGGCAATTCCCTCATGCAGCTAGGATTAAGGGCAATTAGTACAGATGATCAGGCTTAAGCATTAGCATTCTGAATAAAATAAGCTTTTTTAAAGTCTTTGCTTCCTATGAAGGGAGTCCTTCACTCTTCAACTTTCAGAAGTAATATCCCTTTCTGCTGTGACTCAGAAAGAAAGTTTTCTCCCATAAGGACCCGATGAGGCTGACCTGTGGAGGTCACCAGAGTAGCTATTTCATACATCGGGACAAAACCAAAAGGGACTCTTAACATTTGCTTTCATGATATGCCTCTTGGATCATATGCTCTGTTTAAGTAACTCTGTTTACAAACCTTATTTAGATTTTGAAAACTTACCTGGCCTATCTGCTGAACATTTTGTCACCCTCTGTATCATACACAGATATCTTGATTTTAAAGTAAGTACCTTTCTAATAATTTTGTTATTAAAATCTGTTGTGACAAAAATAAATTGCAAAACAAAGATTTATTCATAGCTGTGAGCAGTCATCCACATGTTGTGTGGTTTTTATTTTCCATTTTCCATCTACATTTGTAAACATACCGTTAATTGGGTATTTTTCACAAAGTACGAGTTCATCCAACATCAGCTTAAAAAATAAATGTTATGGACAGAATTATTTAGATGCCTAAATATTTTTTTAAATAAAATTTTTTCTTTGGAGAGCATTGAGTTAGAATTAAATAAATTATTACTTACTAAAATAAAGTATTAATATTTATCCAGCTATTCTTATTACTTGAAATTATGATCAATTAAAATATATTAGGTCACTCACTTCGCTGGTTATTATTGTCATCAGTGAGTAATAATACCTGCTGTCACCATTCTCAGTGGCCACTCTGTCAGGCAGGTAAGACAAGGGTAGGCTGAGTGGGGCTAGCATTTTTGATCTCTGGTTTCCTAGCTAAATCTCATTTTGGGGGAACCATGTATTTGAATGTTGTAAATGCATAAACCCCTATTTTCAAATAAAAATAAAACCAAATTTTATCCTTATGTTAGATACATAAATTTTTCTCCAGTTTTAAATGTGCTCTAGCACATTGATTTCTAGACAACCCAAAATATGAGTGGCAGCATTTGGCATGACACATGGAGCTAAAAGACTGATATTCAGTTACAGTTTGTCTTAGCTACAAGGTCAGTGGCAGGGCCCTATTTCTTCTAGAGTCCCAGGAACCCCTGCTCATGCCCTGCAAGCTGAGTTTGACCAACCCTTCAGTACAGGACTGTAGAGAGGAAACATCAAGTTCAGAAAGATAAAACTAAGTCAGCAGTTTTTACAGCTGGGAAATGGCTGTAACTATATAGCAGAGGGCAGTGAGGTGGGCAGTGGACTAGGTTAGCCATGAACACATTGAATTGCTAAGAAACACTTGGTAAGTTGTTTCTGAATACTCAAATGTAAATGATAACCTAAAGCATTCCCAGTGTACTTACTGATAACCGATTCCCAAGAAGGAAGGTGTTAAGTGTTAACAAGAGTAACCCATACCCACATAAAGTGTTACCTATAATTTATCAGTTGTTTTTGGTTAATTAACTGTGTTACATTTTATTATAATAGATTGGTGAAATATGGAATGAAATATATGAAGAAATAAAACTGGAAAACTTAAGGCCAGTCACTTCAGATAAAAGAATTTTGGAAACTATTACAATAGCATCAGAAAATATTGGCAAGATGGTTGCTTCTCTGCAAAGTGAGATGATCGAAAGCCAAGCACGCCAAGATGTGCAAAATGAGCAAAAAGTATACACAAAAGTAAGCCGCAGGTGCCCGAGAGGCACAAAATAACTAATGTTGATGTATAGACTAGATGAAGTTATGCATAGACTATCTTTGTCTTGTGGGTTCTTTTGGTTTTCTCTCATAGTTATTTTCAGTGTTTTTATGCAGTTTTAGAAGAAATCAAGGAATTAAAAGGTTAAGATTCAGTTACTATTTTCAAAGCTGTTCTATTGCATTATAATTTGATTTCTACTATCATATTTTTAAAAGGTAAAAGATACCTGAGACACCTTCATTTTTTTTGAAATACCCATCATGGTTCAAAAACTTGTGATCTGTTTAAATGCCTTCATTCACCAGATTCTGCCTCACAGTTTTCTGTAACTATAGGCATAATTTCATGCATTACTGACATGCTAACTACAGGCTTATTGATTAATCAGATCATCCTCATCTCAGTGCCAAAGCCCTTACTATTAGCATCCATCCTGGAAATCCAGTGGTAAACTGATAGCTGACTTTAGCCAGTACAAAATCTCTGTCAGGAAAATATCAATTATTTTCCTAAAATTTTACAAAGGCAAGAAACTGAATACATCATTTGTTTTTTGAGTAATTAAATTAAGTGGTTCTTTAACATCTACAGATACAAAAATGATGTGTGATCCTTTATGGACTGCAATTAAATATTTTAAACTCTTCAAAGTGTTTTCTATTGCCTAACTTCTCATATAACTATTCAATATTTATATCTAGTAAGAATTCTGTGTCGACCTATGAGTTCCACTTCATTTTGTACAATCAGTTGCTTGAAAGTGTTGTTTTCAGTGAGAGTTGAAATGGATGTTGCCATCTAATCCATTTGTTTGCTTTTAACTGGAGCAGTAGAATTGGAATTTATGCAGCCTGTATTAGTTTTCTGATAGAAGAATGTTTCCTGTACTGTACTCTCTAAATAGTCTTGATTTATTACTAATGATTTCTTATCATAACTCTGATGCCACTTTTCTAGTAATTGTTTAATTAAATATTCTTTGGTTCATAATTTAAGCTCAAGGGTACTGCATGTGAGAGACTAGTGCCATAGGTAGTAAAAAGAATTTACCAACAGTCAAGGAGCATAGGAAAGTTAAGAGTTTGTTGCTACAAATCAATAGAGCAGCAGACAAGCCCACAAGAATGCACTGCCAGGGTGAAATGCGGAAACGTTTATATTGGGTTTTAATGTGAGGAGGTGTCTGGAAACACCACCCTAGGACGCATTTATCAGGATGCATTTATCGGGTCCCATTGTCCATCCGGCTTACTTCAAGGAAAGCCATCTGCTGTGTGAAGGCTGAGTAATTTTTCATTCAACAGGGTTGTTGCTTTTGGTGTTGTTAGAAACAGCTCTTCTGAGTAAACTTAATAGGCATATATGGGCTATGTAGGGTTAATGATCAAAAAGAATAGATTAGATCGGCACAAAAAGTATTTACTTATCTTTTTTGGGGGGTGGTTTCTTTTGTTTGTTTTGCTACCGGGGATTGAACTCGGGTCCTTGTGCTCGCAAGGCAGGTGGCAAAACCACTGAGCTAAGTCCCCAGCCCAGTATGTGGTTATTCTTAAAAGGGGCTTTTAATGTCATTCTGAGTTGGGGAGAAATAGTACCTTTAAGACAGGACAAGCAGTTAGATCATCTAGAGGTGGATGTGAGGTTCTTGTTATTATTCTACTGCAGATTCATCACTCAGCTGCAGGAACTCTGCACCTGGCACACATTAACCAAGGGCTCAGCGCATCCCACAGTTTGTCCACAGTTGCTTCCCTAGACTGTGTTACAGCAACAAACTCACCATCCTCACAAAACTGCTCATCTTGTTGCAGTCACAAACTAGAAGCAGTTTCACCAATATAACTTTTAATTATTAGTGGCCCGCAGAAATCTCTATTTTCCCTTATGAATTTTTTCTTAAATCATGTGTTTCGTTTCCTCTGGATTATAGTCTGTGTTCACAGGTGGTAATCATGCAAAACAATCAGTATTGCTAAGCATGTTTATTGTTAATAAATAGCAGTTTTGCATCACATCTCATGGAGAGTTGTTCAAATCTTAGCCATGTGAGTGACAGAGGGTTTTTGTCTTTTTAAATTAAGTACTATGATACTCTAATGCTTTTGCTACTCAGCCATAAATTTTACTTCAGCAAAGAGTAGGTGCAACCTTCAAAATAGGGGCTTTCCAGCCCTTTGTTATTCTTTTATAGAAATTGAAATCCTTGCCAATCTTCTCATTTCAGATACAAACAACACATAAGCAAAGAGAACTGGCTAATAAATCATGGGAAAATTTCTTGGCTAGAACATCAAATACTAAAACATTAAAGGTAAGATTTTGAAGGTATTACATATATACAATTACCAACCAATATCTTAAGGACATATTTTTTTCCAGACATGAATATTCATTTACTTTTCTGGTGATCTTTCTATAGAACACTTTCTTACTCAATTTTTTCTTTTCTGTTAGAGACCTCAGAGGCTTTCCCCTCTTCAACTACAAAAGGAAACAAAGTAAAGTTTAAATGGGAATTTAAGATAAATGTCTCTTTGGAAAAATGTGAAAAACTCCTTCTACTAGAAGCTGGAAACCAGTCTAAAAGTCTATAGTGCTAATTATTCACTTTAAATTTGTGGGAAGCACTATGGATTTCCAAAATTTCATTACTTTTCCTTTACTACATTTACATACATTTTCCATTACCCCCTTAGATGGTTGTTCACTTAATGTTACAGTGCTTCCTCTAGATGTGAAATTGGTAAATGTTAAGCTAATTCACAAAAATGAAAGAACCATATTATTATAGCAAAACCTAAGAACAAGCTCACTGTGGTGTCAGGAATCCCCCTTTCCACGAAATGTTCTTTCTAACCGTACTCACAAAATATCCCCCTCACTGCTTGTATTTTTAAGGAAAGGTTAATGAAAAGAGCTCCTTCCATTTAGAGCATTTATTACCTCACATTTGATATGCTTAGTGCCTCAATCACTGAGCCTGATTATAACTACTATGAATTATATAACTTATATTATTCCAGATGTTTAACACATTTAAGTGTATTGAAATAGTATTTAATTTATGCAACATATTTTGAAGCATAACCTGATATAAATTTAGTAGCTTATTAAATTATGTGCTAAAAATGAAATCTGATTTCCTCAGTACTTTTACTCTTTAGTCAAATATGACCAGTACTTCTAGAAATAACCAGGATTTTTTAGGTGCCTGATATTTTCTTCAGTGCACAAAGATTCCAACTTACATTAACAAGTAAGTACTTAAATGAGTAAAGGCAGATCCTAAAATAGTATAATAAAAGCCAAAGAACAAACCAAACACAACTAAATATATTTTATATTTTCATTATAAGTACCATCGTTAATGATTTAATAGGAATTAATATTATTTTCTTCTTAATTTAAAATTTTTTCAGAAAGCAAAAAGGCTGCAAGAAAAGGCTATAGAATCCTCTAAGTACAATGAGCGAACACAAAATGCAGTACTCCACCCAACGGTTATTAAAGGCCTTAACACAACGGTAAGATTTTCTCCACATCTTTTTCTTAACAGCTGAATACATACAGGTCCCAGAACTCTAAATTTTTATGGGAATTTTGTGGGTTTTTTTTTTTCTTCTTGCTGTTCAGGTGTTACACTTTTAAGGCATATTTATCTCCAACATATGAGCCCCCTTGCCCAGTACTAATTTAGAGCAGAGCCCAGCCCTCCAGGTTTCCCAGGAAATTGCCGCCAACACTAGTGTATAAGTCTGCATCTCTGTCCAGAAACATGGGGTGTTTCCCTTGCCAGTGGGGGACCCAGGCCTTAGCAGGCGTTCCTGGTGGCCACTGCTGGTTATAACGCTGTTAAGCAATAGAGGTAGAATTCAAACCCATTTTTCCTAGCTCCAGAGTTCTTATCTTTCCATTATGGTCTGCTGCCTCCATAGTTATTTACTGTTTCTCAAATTTTTTTAATGGGTACATATTGCTGTATATAATGTTTGGATTCCTTGTGTGGAGCTGGTACATGTGTATAACACATCTTAATTCCTTTTTCATCCCCTTTCCCTGAGAAAAGTTAATACTTATATTTACACTTTGTATCTTCTCCAAAGTGAGCTAAAGAATGAACGGGTTTTCCCTTTATGGAAAAATTGTGTAAGTAGATTCATTTAGATATTTACTTTTTGCTCTTTTAGATTCCCTCTGGTCGAGTAGTAACAGTGGAAAGCACTCCTGTCAGATTACTGGGAGGACCTCTGGCAGACACAGATATTGCTCTTAAAAAACTGCCTGTTCGAGGAGGAGCCTTGCAGAGAGTGAAAGCAGTTAAAACTGTGGATGAGGCAAAAAAGAGTATTCCTATTTAGCGCACTTTAGAGACTTTTTGAAATACATCCTGCTTATAATTTTGGGTAAATATATCTTTATATACAAATGCAAAGCAACCGTTTTAGAATAAATACTTTAGTAAAATGCTATAAAATGAAGAGGACACAGAATTTATCTTTTAGAAAAAGATCAGCACATAATATCAAAAACATCATCAGTTTCTTTGGAAAGACTGCAAATTCTCTTAACTGAAATTATGAATCTGGTGGATCACTTAGGACTCTTGCATGTGAACTGCCCCAGATACTTTAGCTAAAATATTATAAGTTCTGTATCTGTCCAACCTAGGAATCATTTAGACTCTTGACAGCCCGCTCCTGAGTGATTCGTTATGACTTTGGCCAGATCTGAGTACTTCCTGTTGGAGCCAAAGCAGGCCAATGCCACCCCGTGCACTTGTTGGGGTGCCGTGGGGAATCAAGGTACTGATGTCAGAAGTATAAACTAACGCTAGGCAACAACAAATGTACTGATCACAGTCAAATGAGTTACATCTGCTGGAAAAAGCAAATGTTAATCATGAGCTAATCAATAAAAATACAAATACAGACGGTTGTACTCTTATTATATAAGTTCAAAAAGCCAAAGTCTATTGCTACTTCTCTTCTTTAATGGAGAAGAAGAGATGGCTATGTGGCGGAGGTGTTTTCTTCCCTTGGTGGCAGAGGTATTTTGTGCAAACATGGGAGATAAGAGGACTAATGCTGGATACAGAGCCAAGTGTCCGTGTCACCAGGTGCCATTACACAGTTTCTGTTCCCTGCCATATCCCCTAAACTGCTCCTGCAACCAGGAATTCGCAAAGTTGAGTTCATATCCAGGGCTGGGAGAGAGATACTGTTTCTCAGAAAACAATATTGAAATTTGAGTCTGAAAGCTAGGCAAGGTACTAGTAAATGTGTATTAACTGGCTCTCCAGGTGGGCAAAGCCCTGCAAACTGCCCTATGACCAAGTTGAAGTAACCCACACGATGCCATTGAATGCAGAGTTGGAAAGAGACGCGAGTGTCCTTCTTTCATTACCGCAGGCTCCGCTGGCCTCCGACCCACCTTCTCCTGCTTACTTTCTCCTCCTCTTTGCCCCTCCTCCTTTCCCGCTATACATTCCTTTCAGAATTTTCTATTATCCTATTTCTGAGGACAGTAATATCTTCAGTGGAGGGAGAAGTTGTAGCTGTTGTTCTTCCCATTAGAATGAGATGCCAGTTTTCTGGTGGTGCCTCACCCTCGGCCAGATGTCTGGTCCCCTTGCACGCCCCAGGGGCAAATGATATAAATCAGCTTTTCACTGAGTTTTACCACTAGAATCCCTTTCTCTATTACCGCCACCCCTGAAAAGATGCAGAAACACACCATTTGTTCCTTACCTTTCCAGAAAGCCCTATGCATATAACGATTTCATGCAAAGGAGAGTTACTGAGACATGAGGTTGGAAGTGGATATGTTGTGCACAATGAGATCCCCACATGGAAAGCACCAGGCACACTGGCTTACCTCAGATACACCCAGAATCCATGTGAAGACTGCCCCATTCTGCAGACTCTTTAGTTTCCCAAGGACAACTGGAGACTCGTTCTTTATTATAACTAATACCTCAGTAAATAGATTACTGGATAAATGTGATGTGGGCCTCAAGTCCTGACACCCTTTGCCCTGAGATCTGCAAACACAGCAAAGTACTAGCTCAAACGGAAGAATCCACCAACATATTACTGTCCAAGTCATGCTAACCACAGACATGTTAAAGGAGTTCAGATGCTTTCACTTCATAGCAGTGGTAGACTTCTTCCACAGTGGTGAGGCATAAATACTATGATGTGACCATAACCAAAATGTAGAAATAATATTATCCGGTTGCACGTCATTTTTTGTGTGTAGTACCAACTGCTATCTCCAGACTGACTAGGACTGATTACCATGGAGATAATCTGTGATGTCTCTGGACTTTCTGCTGATGCTTTAGGAAGAGAAAAAATAAAGCAGGACAGGTTATTGTCTAGCAGCCATTTAACCACCAAAGAAATATAAATTGATGGAGGGCAGTAGTATTACTTAATGCAGACACTGCACTCAGGTACAGACTTCACCCAAGTTTACATTTGTGATTCTAGCCACCATATGGTGAGCGAGTCATAAATCATTTATCTGTGTGACAGAGCCACAGATATGTTTTTATTTCAGTCTCTCACCATGTTGTACATATACTACTCTTGAGCCCCAGGGTATGCTGCTTAGCCTAGCCTGCATACCTGAGAGACTCATGCTCTTCCATGAGTCACCTGAAACAAAATTTCAAGCTTTCAAACTGAAATCTCTACTCACCAACTACATGAAAAGAAAGTCAGGAATAAAAATGATGGCGTTCAGTGAACACAGATAAAAAGTGCCATCAAAATACTTGGTAATGAGATTTTTACCACATGAGGAAACTCATTCATGGTTAAATTCAGTGCTTCCTTGTATTTGGTGAATACTGGCAAATAATTCATTGACTATCCTTCATTCATTTGGTCTTGGTCTGCCTTCTGGAGCAAAAAAATGCATTTCATATCACAGGAAACAACTATGACACACACCCAAGTCTTTTCAGGTCTAATATTCAGTTTCTTTAATCATGGCTCTCGTCAAATTCTTCTGATAAAAGTTTCCCAACTTAGTAAATGTGGTCAGCCTCTGGTGAAGTGCTACAGTTTGACAACATTCTAAACTCACCTGCCAAACTGAACAAAGATTTCTAGGTGTAACAGGACCACTGTAGAGTAAAAGGAGACTACCCTATCTCATTTTTATAACTTTCTGCCAAGTTTGTAAAAAGTTTCTCTGGCAACCAACCATGTTTCATTATTGCCTGTTTTTATCTGACAGTCAAGGAAAATGACAAGAAATGCTTCCTAAGAAAGAAAAATATGGACTAGCATAGTACTACAAAGTCATAATACTATAGAAAGATCAGACACCATTTCTAATTCTCCAATAAATGGAACTAGGACTCTGTGGAAAAACAACAGAATGGGACAGAAATACAGAAGATGAATCTAAAAGTATCTTATCGAGTTCTCTGAAGGCCAAAGTTGGAATAATTTGAACAGCATAATTTTGTAATATTATATTATCACCCAAAGCATAAATAAATGTCTGTAAGTCCACACTGATAGTAAGGAATCAGGGGGAGGAATCTCCATGAAGTCTGAATAATTTAAGTAGATATTTTCTTCTTGGAAAGTGCACAATAGCTCCACATATGGGTTATATTTAGTGACTTTCTTCCAAAGAGCACAGTTTAGAAAGTAGGACAACCTAGCAAATACTACGTTAGCCAACATTAAACATTATCAGTAATAAGTCACATGGAGAGCATGCACCCTTGACCTGAAAGGCTAAAAATGGTACTTTGTCTCTATGGTATTTATCCCAGAAACATATAATCCCAATCTAACAATGAGGAAAACATCAGGCCAACCCACACTGAGGGCACTCTGCATTACATGTGATCAGTACCCAAAACTATCAAGGTCATTCAAAACAGAGTTAAGGAACTAAAAAGCCTAAAAAGACATAACAACTTATTAGTGTGGTATCCTGGATGGGCTCCTGAGGGGTGGAGAATGTTAGGGAGAACTAGTGAGATCTGAATAAAATATGACATTCAGGTACTAAAGTGTCAGCTTTAGTTCATTAGTTGACAAATATACCATACTAACAGGATGTGTTGAAATAAGAGAAAAACAAGTTACAGATATACAGGCACTCTATCCTTACAACTTGTCTGCAAATCTAAAACTCTTCTAAAATATAAAAGGTTTATTTAAAGCAAAAATAAAAGTCTGTAGGAAGAACAGAAAATCTTTAGTCATACTCAATTATTACCTGTTGTTTCCACTTATAAGTAAATATTTTAGGAGCAATATTAGATGTTTTACCCCTATTTCTTAAACTGTCTGCAGAATAACCAGTTATGAGTTAAACTAAACAAATGGGCAAAGCTGTGAATCTGATTGTTTACTATAATATAAGAATTCATAGTTTTCTAAAGATCTTTTGACTGAACAAATCACTTGACTTCAAACAAGGCAAAGGCAAAGATAGCATCTCCATGCAACACCAGTTTGGCCTTGCAACTGTGATGGCAATGTGTGAGAAATGTTCCTGTTTCATTGTCATTATTTTTGTTGTTGTTCTTATTGTACTGAAGATTTTCCCATGAAGCTATATGTCTAGCACTTTTTTATTTTTTATTTCAAGAAAGAGCCATGCTAAGTAAGTCATTCCACCTTTATCCTACTTCAATGACAAACTAGCCTGTCATTTCTATGAGAACATGAGCCTACTCTCCAACCAGTGCATTTCCTGAGCTTGGGAGTCCAATCTTGATTAGCAAGGTAAAATTTTTCAGCCTAGGAATTTCTTAGACCTAACTTTCATTTTATTTGCTAATCAATTATTATGCAAATTTGGTTATATAAAAATATTTGTAAAAGAATACCTGAAAGGCATGAGTTCTATACATTCCTTGACATTTAAGATTCTTAACCTAGGGTTCATCTACCCTCCTGAAATTTGTGTGTATATTCATGGCTCGTGTTAACCCATCACACAGGTGATTGTCCAGTTCAACTTTGGTGTTTTAAAAATTGTCTGTATTTAATTTAGTATCTGTGTTCCTACATCAGCTTTCATGGAGGCAAATCTATTTTTGTAAGAACTCAAAAATAATGCCCGCACTGTGACAGCAATTTTGAAAACCCACAGGACAAATTTGTGTTAGTTCTCAGGACTGAGAAAGCCTGGGCTTCTTTCGAACATGTGCTTTTCATTTCCTGGAAGTAATATGAATTGCAATGCTCATGAATCTCTCTTAACTTTGAAAAGTGGAAATCTAAGACCAACTATTTGTAGCTCTATTAAAGGTATAGGCTTTCATCAAACTCAAAACTGCTAAATACGAACTGAAGATTATTCCACCACCAATAGCTTCAACACTTTTTCTCATTCCAATTTCATTGTCTACATCACAAGAAATCACTCACAAGTATATCTATTTAGAGATTAATATATTTAGAACAAGATGGGATATGCATAGCTACTATAAAATTACTACTAATAGGTAAAGAAAAATGTGATAAACTTGTGTGTTAAAATGAAGTTTAACATCTTTTTTTTTTTTTTGCCTCTTCAAAATTGGGATAACAAAGTTTGTAATCCTTAATACCTAGAAACTATTGGAATTGATGAGCTGGCTTAGTGATGAAGTGTACATTGCAGGAGACTCACAGGCCACGACACCAAAATGAAATATTACATCTTGGGACAAGAATACTTTTATTAAATATCAAACTTTCCATACAACTAAACTCTACCCTGGTAAATACATGCTTCATCTCCCTCCTGTTGTTATGGAAGGAATCAGTAAGTGACACACAGAGAGGCAGCAGAACGAAAGTCAAATAACAAAAGTTGACTCCATCCTCGGGGGTGGATCACACCTAACGGCAGTGCCCTGATTGACCCCTCCCAGGACTGGGAGACGACTCCTTCTTTTACAGGGTTTCACAGCCTGGATCTCATTCAGCTGGTTCCATTTCATTGTTACAGTTCACATCGCTGATACGCACAACATGGTGGTGAGGCAGAAGAATTGCAACCCGGATGGAGCACTTTGGGTCAGGGGAGGTTCCCTTTAAGATTCACTCAGTTATCTATTCTAGCCCACGGGAAGGGGGCATGTCAGGGCCATAAAGTTAACAATGCTACGTTTCATTGACAAAACTTTGGAGCACCACTAGATGCCCTCAGTGCCTATCCATTCTGAACTACACAAAGCAAAAGGCAGACATTATTTCACATTGTGACATTTCATAGGTTCTTTTTGATTAAAGTTTTCTCTATCACTGTTACTTTCTGTGGGAAATGACACTTGGAAAACATCACCTATCTCCTGCCCAGTCCGTGAGAATATGAAATCAAGCAATCTATATACATGTTCCAGAAATTCTGAGCTATGTTTGTGAAGACCTCATAATGTCCAGGAACCCCGGATTTCTGTAAGAACAGCATGACTTCCCAGAAAGCTTCCGCACTGCGCTCTGTCTTCAGCTGGCTGAGATCTAGCAGTGTCAAAGAGCACGTGTTCCAACACTGGGGATGCATGTAGGGTACGATGTCGGGGTTGAGGTGAGCCAGCACTCCCTTTTGAAATTCCAAATCAGCATTAACCAGGCTGATGAGCACAAGGCAGCCCACTGGCAGGTAGAACCATCTTCTTGTGGCAGAACCCATAGTCTATTAAAAAAACAAAACAAAACAATAGGGGATATTTTTAACGTAAAACTTAATTATCCAGTGATGTATTTCACTTCAAAAATTATAAATAAAAGCCAAATACTATTTGTAGGGTTTTCTTTAAGTAAGTGATTCTGAAGCTCTCCTTTGAAAGAATATTTCAATTTCAACTAGATTACCTTACGGACATTCCAGTAAACACTTTTTGGGAGTCACTGAAATCCAGTACATATTTAGGAAGATGAAATCGGTCCATTTCATTACAGACATTTACAATGAGAAGAAACCTTCAAGACCATGGGCTCCAACCGTCTCCCCGTACCTATCAGAAATATTCTCAAGGGTGTGGCCCAGCAAGTTTTCAAGTCTCCTGTCTTCCTATCCACAACACTTTCACACCAACTGGATCAGAGTGCAGCCTATTGTATTGGGACACCTGCTTCGCAAACACAAGGTCCCCAGTTTGAGCCCCCAAAGTCCGCCCCCCAAAAAAGAAAAGGTAAAAGAAAGAAACACAAAATCTACCATCCAAAATGGTACTTCATCTCTCAAGCACCATTTCAGGGTTTCAAAACTACTGCTGTTTCCAGTTTACATTGAAAAGTATTTCTTAAGCATTCGTTCTGTTGGATCTCTGCCTTCTCTCAGGTAGCTCAGGAGCGGGTTGAAGATTCACACACACACACACACACACACACACACACACACACACGGAGCATAAAACAACGCTGATCTGAGATAGTGTGCGGCCGTTTACAGGCAGCCATATCTTTGCGTTTTCTAATGCTTCTAAGCAGGTGTTTCCCTGCCAATTATTTCCAAAACGAAAATTAGTGGAAAGTACTTATGTGGAAGTCAAAAATTAACTTGACAAAGAATCGCCCCTAAGCTACTCTTCCAGGCTGGTGTTGGAAATGCCCGTGGAGAGGATTCCGAACTGACTGCTAGGAGCGGGGGCCAAGAGGTGCAATCCAGAGTGGACTCACCTACTCCTCGCTGCTGTCCACCTCAGCCCACAAAGGCCAAAGACCAAGATCAAGCGATGCAAAGCCAGAGTGAGCTTCAAGGACTTGGTTTCGCATCCTTTATACCTGTGCACTTCCCTCAGGCCAGTTCTAAGTGTAAGGCTGTTGGGACAGGTGGATTTGCTTCCTCTAGATTTCAACTTAGCCCTAGGCCCATTTGCTCCCAGCCCCTGTCATTCCATGCTGCTGGTGCTGCTGGTGCTGCTGGTGCTGCTGGTGCTGCTGGTGCTGCTGGTGCTGCTGTGCTGTGCAGAAGGCAGCAGCTCTGGGTCAGTGCTCAGCCTGACCGCCCTTTCTGGGATCCGATCTCTGCCTTCGCAGTGCCCTCGGGGCCCAGGCAGCCCAGCCAGTTAGACCCGCACTCTCCTGCCCTTCTCCCTCTTCTCCCAAACTCTCCATCTCAGCCTCAGTCAACTACCCACGCTGTGCTCTCCCACTTAATCCCCACTAACCTCGAGCCCTGCTCTAGTCAGACATTACATTTTCTGTTCATCACAAAATATAAAGATAAATAGGTATAATAAGGAATAAAATACTCTCAGTACATACAATAAAAGTGGATAGAATCTGAGATATAAAACTTCTGTGGAATCCATGAGGAAAAGACAAATGCCTCAATAGAAATCTGAGCAAAAGGCTTAAAGAAGCATTTCACAGGTGCGCAAACATACATAATGAACACGAAAGCATATTCCTAACTTCATTACAAGCAAGGACTTACATATTAAAGCCACAATGAGAAAGATTTATACCCATAAGATAAAAAGTTAAGAAGTCTGACAATAGCTAGTGTTCGTGAGCATGTGGAGTGTATTCGTTTTCTAGAAAAACAGAAGCAATAGAATAAATATATACACACGTCACCAGAATAAGCTCAGGCTGCCAGCTGTTTGAACATTAATCTTTGGGAGACTACACTTGGTAGTAAGAGTTTTATTCAAAACTCACCCTAAAGAAGACGGATGGCTATTTTCTCAGGGACTTTTCTTTAGGGGTACAAAGGGATTTCATAGAAAAAGAAGAGCAAGGCAGGAAAGCTATCAGGGTATGTACCGCTCTTTTCTTCTTTGACACATCACAATAAACCTTGAACCTCTGGGACCAATATCTGTTATCCTTCTTAACTAAAGACTAAGAAGGGACATTACAAAGACTTCTAGGTTATGTAGATGTAAAGAAATATTTAGCAGTTAACATTCTGACCATTCAAGCAGGCTTTATAACTTAGAATGTTAGGCAAGAAGGAGGGCAGATAAAACTTGCAAAAAAATTAAGGAAGGATGGAAGTTCAAAGAGAGAGAAAACAGAAATCACTACAAAGGGCAACCTCAAAGAAGCAACCCTGTGGGGTGTGTGTGTGTGTGTGTGTGTGTGTGTGTGTGTGTGTGTGTGTATCATACAGTTAAGAAGGCTGAGAAATCCTACAACCTGCCATCTGCAAGCTGGAGACCTAGGAGAATTGGTGATATACTTCAAACTTGAATCTGAATGCCACAAAATTAGGGGAGTTGGTGGTATAAGTGCCAATGTGATAGCAGAAGAAAACTGATGCCCCAGCTCACACAGTAAGAGAGAATAAATTCTCTTCTCTTCTGTCTTTTTGTTCTTTTCAGAGAATTTATTCTCTCTTACTAAAGCTTAGTTTTCATACTTGGCTATTTATAAGACCAACGGTACTACTAACTTAACTCATTCATCTAATTTATCACTGTATCAAAAACAAAAACCTAACAAAGCAATGATACTTTCCAAGCTATTTATTAATTTTACTGAAATCATCTTCATTAGCAGTGATATATTCATCATCATCTTATCACGTCATTCTGTCCCTTATGCAGTCCTTTTGCCCCCGGACTTCACCTTGAGGTTACACTGTAAGTAGCTCTCTTTCCTCCAGTTACTATAGATTGTGACTCCCCACCAGAGTTCCTTTCACTAAGGTAATTGAGCACCACCATAATTAGGTGAGTGTTTTCAATATATTCCTTGGCATTTGGGAATTGCTGTACTATATGTTATCTTTTTTTCCCCATGAGAACATGTAATCTCTCCTACTAGTTTAAAAAATAGTATCTTTGTTACGTGTTCTTTTAGTGACTGGCATGAAGTACAAAGGGCACTCAATAAATATTTTGAGGTGATTTTTATGTTATACTTTATGCTGTTTTCTTCTGTGAGGAACATTTTCAGCTTTCCAGTAGCCATACTTCAAAGTCTTTCAGAATCCTAGTATTACCTATAAAGATTTCCTGATTTGATAAGACTGGTATTTTATTCATTTATCCTGTGTTCCTACCTCCAAATGACGAAGCTGCAGTTTTCTCACACTTGTGTTTGTGTTGTGTCTTCCATGCACAGCATCCTTCTCCAGGAAACACCGACATTGTCATTTCACACAAATCCAGAACAGTATTCCACACGCAGCAGGGATGTGTTGATGGAGTAATGCTGCTGAATACCTACAAAAGGGGTAATTTTTTAACTCATTGACTTTGACTTATTATAATAAAATACATTCATTTACAAGGCCTACATTTCCACTTGCCTCCAGTAAACCTTCGTAACAATGTATTTATCAAAGTCTGATTCAGTGACCTTTGGGGAAAAAAACACCAGGACGTGAGGCTGAAACAAATAAGTACCCTGCAGAGAAAACAAGCACTTCTAACTAAGTGAAGTCAGAAAAAAACATTTATTTCAGGAATACAGGAGAGGAAACTGAACAAAGTACTGCCCCTGAGACAAGAGGGAAAAAAAGCTCAATAGACAAATCATAAAAAGATCATTAATCCTTACTTCTTCCAAAAAGGGTCATTAGTAAGAAATACTGTTTTTCTTTAAGAATAAAAAATAAAAGTTTGTCTTAGGACATAAAAAATTGAAACATTGAAGACATATTGTATATTTTAGGATATTAATTTTCCCTTTTTGTATTAGTTTTTCCTGACTCCTATAAGGATCCAATATATATTCTTAACTTTTCACTGTTTATTTACAGTTAATAATGAATTAATTCACAGAAAGTATATAACTCTTGCAAATTATGAGTTCATTTCTTCACCTTCCCACCCTTTTTGCTGTATCTGTCAAGTTCATTATATCCATACACATTAGAGAGCCCATAATGTAATTTTCAATACCTCTGCCAAATGGCTCAGACCTCAGCTACTAGGAAGGCTGAGGCAGAAAGATCACAAACTTGAGCCCAGCCTGAGCAAGTTAGTGAGACCCTGTCCTGAAATAAAATAACATGGGATGGAGATGTAGCTCAGTGATTGAGCACTTGCCTAGCATGTGTGAGGCCGTGAGTTCAATCCCCCAAATGGCAAAATATAATATAAAATAAATAAAAATCCAATACTCTTTCTCACTCTTAAGATCTGAATTTCCATCTGGTATTCTTTCTTTTTGCCTGAAGAACGTCTTTGCAATTTCTTAGGGTGCACATCTATAGGTAATAAATCTATATCAGCCAGTGCTCCCTAGACAAACAGATTTAATGAAAGATATACAGGGATTTACAAGGTTGGCTTATAATAGCTGCCAAGAGAGTTAGGTATGGAAGAGTGCAAAACGTCTGTGCACTGAGGATCGGAAGGAACCAGTCAAAGGTGTGGAGCTCACTATACTGTCCTTTGCAAGAGTCTGTATCAGGAGGCCACAGGGTCTACACTGGAAGGCTAGAGTCTACACTGGAGGCTGGGGATTTAGCTCAGTGGTGCTTCTACCTTCTCGCAAGCACAAGGAAAGTTTGATCCCAGGTACAAAAAAAAATCTATGCTGGAAGCCAGGAGAACTACTTTCAAGATGAAGACTGGAGTTCCTCTACAGAAACAGAAGTGAGCCTTCCCTGTTTCCCTTTTATAACATTTAGGCAACAAAGCATGTTGATAGCAACATTATAGCAACAAACTCCAGACAAGCGTTTGTATGTAAGAAAGTGATTCATTAAATCATAGCATATTCTGGAAT